AGAGATATATGACCCAGTCACTCAGACAATGACAGTCAAGGTTTGTTGACAGAAAGATCAGAAGACAGTCTTAGACAAATTATTAATTTGATTAGTGTTTGTTTCACTTTCGCACAAAACGTAAGTCATGTGCTAGACAAAAAAAAAAAAAAACTAAGATGGTTGACACATTCTGTGTGTGTTGTATTTATGAAACTAATTACTGTTATAGTCCTTCATATGCTAGACAAAAAAAACTTAAGATTGTTGACACATTTTGTGTGTGTTGTGTTTATAAAACTAATTACTGTTATAGTCCTTGATTTATTACCCGTATGAGTAACATTTTGCTTTAGGTTTGTGATACATATTTGGTGGATGAGACTGTCAAATCATCAGGTTCCTCAAGAAAGAGGAGAGCAGCCCCAGCCTCCCCGACCTACTTCTCCCGGGAGACCATGTTTGTTGTCTCCACTACTGCTGCCTCCATCTACAACTCTCCTCCACGGCTCAATGTCTCTAGGGATGTCCAAATTGTGGAAGATTCAGGTAATTTTTTAATTCTTGTTGCATTATATCAGACTTTTTTGTGCTAATGCAGAGTGACAATAAAAAGATCTTTCCAATGTGAAATATTTAAGAATTTCAATAATGATTTCAAAAAATTTGAAATATGTAATTCCCAATATTACTTGTCAAAAGGAAAAGCTTCATGAAGAAAAATGAAAACAAAATTATGATAGAAGTCCTGTAAGAGATAGTATGTAGAATAGTAACATATAATATGTTTGATGGTAACAGGCACTGTGAACTACCAGTTGGAGGCTACGGATGAAGAAGGGGATGCCATCTTTTTTACCTTGTCAGATCATACATTAGAGTTTGGAAATGCAACACTCTCAGAAACTGGATTGTAAGTGTACTCACCTTTGTAGTAGAATGTTTTATTGTTACAACTTGGGTCATGTGTTGCTCTTTTATGTCATAGAGAGATCATATGAAAAGCTATGAACAATTTGTTATTTCTGTTTGTCTCTAGCCTGACCTATACCCCATGCACAGACTGTGCTGGAGTTGAATACATCAACATTACAATGTATGAGAATCAGACTGACCCAGAAATTCCTCCTGCAAACTCCACAGATGTCATCATTATCACTATACGATCTATTAATGACCCGCCTGTACTGTTTGCCTCCTACAATGGGAAATCTCTGCTGCAAGCAGACCCAACAGAACCTGTTGTGGTTTGTATTCACTCTTAATTTTTTGCTTACCTGAGCCAAAGGCTCAATTGAGTTTTTCTGATTTACATTTGTCCATCTGGCATCTGTTGTCTGGGAACTTTTCAAATCTTTGTCTTTTTAATGGGTGAAAAATTTTCATGGAAATAAAGATTTTAAAAAAGTCTTAACAAGAGGCCCAAGGGCCTTGAATCGCTCTTCTGATAAACTGTACAACCTATCACTTCTATTTAAAGCTTCTAAGTATCTTGTATATTTAGATAAAGCCTTGAAATTAGCATTAGCTCTTTAAGCCTTTGGCTCAGAAGAGCTAAAAATCTTGAGAACAGGTTGCTCAGATGAGTATTACCGGTAATTGTGGCCCTTCGACTTCATTTTGACTTAGCATCTTTTAAACTTCCTCCCTTTAAAACTTAGATTGTTCCATGTAATAATGCATTTGAGTAATTTTGTATCAGTGCCAAACAAAAAAACTTTGTGCAGTACTGTCCTACTCCTTTCTACGCTCCTAATTTGTATGCTTCATCTACTGGTATCTTTTAAAGGTGTTGCGGGAAGCTCGTTATGATTTCAATCAGCATGTTTGGCAAGAACCATGGACTGCATTATTTGGAGCATATGACATTGAACCTGGTGACACAATGATCTTCAAGATAAATGATCCTTCCCTGAGTAATGTGACCACAGGGAATGAAAACACAGCTGTCCCAATTTTGTACCCTAACTGTGAAAGTGCTGGTGAAATAACTGTAAGTACATACCTAAGGGTTTTGTTTTAAGAGGTCTGTATTGTTTTATTGTTTATTTACATGTAGCACCAAATCAGTAACGCCTGAATATATACATGTATGTAGGAATTTCAATAAATAAGTGTCTAAGAATTGACTTGATATACTTAATACAAAGTAAATATGATGATTTTGTCTTGTTACAGTCTACTATGATGCCATGTGATAATTTCACCCAGAATCTGCCCCATGCAGCCAATCGTATGTCATGGAAAACGTTTATTCTCAACTTTACAACACCCATGGATGTGTTTGGCAATTTCACAGTGAACTTTTATTTTGAGGATAGCTCAAATGGAACCTCTCTACCACTCACTGTCAAATTTTCTATCATGGACTCACCCTGTCGAAATGGAGGAATGTGTGATCGTAAGTACAAAAGCACAGAGAGACCAAATTGTCTATTGGTAAATCTGTAAGAAAATATCAGAGGTTCAATAATCAGACAATTTAGTGCTTAATACATTAAAAGCAATTTGTTCATCTCAGCTCAACTTTTTTCAAAGTGAAACTCATGTTTGCTCTGTTTTTTACAGCCACTAGCTTCTTCCCGTGTCATGATACCCACAGAACACACAGTTTTGATGCCTACTATCGCTGTAACTGTACTGGGGGATACCAAGGGAAATACTGCGAGGATGATGTCAATGAATGCTTAAGTGACCCATGTATCAGGCCTTATGTCTGTTACAACAGACTGAACCACTATGTGTGTGCCTGCCCTGAGGACAATCCAAACTGTGAGATCCTCCCCTGGATGATCTCTATTATATTGATCATCCTCATTCTGATTATTGTTTTGGTTGTGGTGGGAGTATACAGATACAGACACAGAAGAAGGTAAAACTTTTTTCTAAATTTGGAAAATTTATTAAAAATATTATTTATGGTCTTAAATTCATGTACACAAGCAGTAACTCTGTTTAATTGCAAATTGTTAGCTGACCTTGTAGAAGTTCAGATACGCTGGCTCATACTAAGCTCATGCAGGGGATTTGTGTCAAAGGTTAAACTATAAAGTTTAACTCTTCTTGAACCAAACTTGCATTACTTCCAGTCATACTTTGAATGTTACATCTGACATTTTTTTGGATGAGTGGTTATTAGTGTTTTTGAAGCAGTTTCTTTCCCAAGAAACTACTAGTCTCACCTGGACCAAACTTGCATTTGATTGATGAATTTATATGCTCTATGCTTAGAAAATGCAAGTGACATGTATTTTTAAGTTCTTCAATGAAGGGGTATAATAATGAACTTGCTTATAACAAAAAGATCTTATTCAGGATTCATCTGGTATGAGAATTTGTCTTACTTGAATTTAAGATTTGTCAAGATGAGCTTCTTAATCTTTGATAACCTTTGTATTTCTCCTTGTCTTATTTTGATTTACAAATGCCTCAAGAAAAGTGTAAGATTTTATTCCATCATTTTTTTTTTATCTTTTCAGTGAAAAAGATTACATGTTAAAGAAGTGAGTATGATTCCAAGTAAACAATTTCATTAGAAAATATATTAACAGCTTGGCTTAACCACACTTACTGAAATCTTAAACTGTTTTATTTTCTGTTTAGTAGTTTTGGATCACAGTCCTCTTTGGGATCAGAATTTAACATGGATGATGACATGATTTTAGGTAAGTGAACAGAACATCCTTAATGCACTGTATATGACTACTTTCAGTTTTAATGTTTTATTAAAAAGGCATCCTTTTAAAATTATGTGTTTTGAGGAACTCAAAAGAAGTACATCACTGATATTTATATGTATATGGTCATTAATTATCCTTTTATTTATTTTGCAGATGACAAAGTGTCTGTTGATGAATCTTATGATGTAAGCATTCATTTATCCCATTTGTACAAGTTAACTGCTTTTTTTTGTTCTTTAATCTCTAAAACGAGTTGATTTAATTGTTATACAATACAGTAACTGCACTAAAAAATGTTGGATATAAATATCCACATTTAAAATACAATAATTTCAAATTTGACAGGGCTTTGAAAATCCAGCACTCAACATTGAACATGATTATGACCCAGAGGATGAGAGACATCAGTTCAAGAGACACATGAAGTCTGGCTTTGCTCCCCTGCTTCATGCTGCCCCTCCTTCATCGCTGTCAGCATACAATCAAAGGGAACATCCTCATCCAGACAGCTTCCATCCAAAAAATGTACCTATAGGAGTGAATGGCCATGCAGGTATGGCAAATGGTCAAGGCAGGAGTGGTACTCCAGACTCCAGATCAAGCAGTGCAGCTCTAAAACGCCGACTCAAGGTCCAACCAGTGGAAGATGATGCAGTGTCAACCAAGAGCCAGATCATGGGAAATGGACAAAGTACACCAGTTAATAGGTCTAGATGCAACACTCCAGATATTTTCACTGCAAACTCTGCAAATGGAAGATCCACACCTGTACGACCAAGCACTCCCTCCCTGACAAAGGTCAACAAAGTGTCACCTGTAGAAGGCCACCAGTCTCCAAACGGAAGCCAGTATTCTGGAAGCAACCCAACATCCTCGGACCACACCGGATCTCAGCGGGGGTCTCCCCAGACTCTGGAAATGACACGGTCTACAGAGCTTACCATCTCCGACATTGAGGATACAGGGAACAAGATGACCAATCTGTGATGACCACTGGACATAGACCTATATAGCCCCAGAAATGTGATTTTGTTTTGCCTTCCTTCTGACTTTTGTTTTTACTTCTCAACAGTGACAAATCAATATTTATTACAAACTTGTCTTTCATAGTATGTACTTGTCTGTGATATTAACTCTAAATGTCTTTGTCATGTTTTTTATCAGTTTAAGTCTACACCAGTGATAGGCATTTAGAGAGATTGTTCCGTCCATATGAAAAAGCAGAAGCAATATATCCATGATTTATAATGAAAGGCTATCTGTGATATAGAATATGCATTATCAAACTGTCAGCTGTGATAAATTTATAAGCAATTATTTTTAGATGCAAAAAAATTCATGAATGATACACCAACATTTTATTAGTTATGCTTGATGGAAAATAAATACTAGTAGCTGACAAAATGACATCCAGAAATTATCAGTATAAAAATCTGAATTAAATCGCACATACTCGGTTTTGAATATAAATTTCTTCCATTACAGGGATGATTTATTTATACTTGTATACAATACCTACAATAACTGTGATAGATGATACAATTTTTTATTCAGTATCCATCCAAAATTATTTTTATTTCAATCATGCAAGCATATTTTTAAGTTTCTGATGAATTGACATTTAGAAATTCTTCACCAATAAACTATTTTCTGTCTTTATTACGCTGTTTTATTTTCATTTATGAAAGATCATTTATGCAACTTTAAAGTTGTATTGTCACCAGATGGACGTAATTTTCGTCAACTTTTATGTAGTTCAAGACCAGGTGTTGCTTATCTGTACACTGCCACTGTAAATGCTGGGTGTCATCTTTCTTTAGCATATAATTGTATGCCATTTAAGGCTCTCATCACAGCCACTGCATTATGTTCAACTTCGTGGTCTTTGTCCAAGGAGAATGAAAACCTGAAATGAAGTTTTAACATGAAGAAATTAAAAATTATTTATTCTATACGTGTATAAAAAATCATATTTGTTGTAAAATTAATATTACATTTTATACAAATTCAGAATTGAGCAAAATGGTTGTAAATTGCAATCCACATGAGGTGCAACAAAAAAAATCTACATTTTTTACTAAATGTCGTATTTTGGAAGGGAGGGTTCGTGAGTCGCCAAACTGGGGCTGAATATTGAAATTTTATTTGACTGAAAACATTGAATTATGTATTACCTGTGAAGGAGCTTTGCAAGTACTATTTTCTCTTCATTCATTGCAAAGTGTTGCCCAATACAGTTTCTGAAAGAGATAAGTTGATGCTTCATTGACTCAAAAGTATCAGTAAAACAAAATAATTTGTCAAAAAGCCTCTACTGTAACAACTGTTTACCGGGGGCCTGCTGAGAATGGCAGGAAAGCAAAGGAGTCCATTTTGGCAAGATTTTCTTTGGAGAATCGCTCTGGTTTGTATTCCATGTGATCTTGGCCCCAGACCATGGGATTGTGATGGAGGCACCAGATGTTCGCCACTAAGTTTGTTCCTGCTGGAATCTTGTGTCCTTCAATGGTAATGGGTGCTGTGTTGCTTCTGGCAATAAAGGGAACAGGGCAATGCAGCCGCATTCCCTCCTTGATACATTGTGTCAGGAATGGTAGCTTTCCCAAATCCTCCCTTCAAACATTATTTATTAAATTTAAAAGTCAGTAAAATGCAATATAAGGAAGTACATGTAACTTTATTAAAATGCCAGGTATTCTTACAGATGTACATTTTCTATGTTAGACTTATGACTAAGCAGAGATTGTTAAAATCTAGTAACCTTGAAAGTGAATCCCTTATAGATCAACATACCATCCTATTTCCCCATCTTCGCTCTCTGATATAATCTGGTCTATCTCCTTTTGACATTCTCTTTGATATTCTGGATACTGGGAGAGTGAGTATAGGATCCACGATATTGCACTGGCTGTTGTGTCGTGACCTTTTTAAGAAGGAAGTAATGCTATTACTTCTATTAATTATCATATTTGGTCTTTGAATGTTTTTTTTTTCCTGCCAATGACAGACCATGTGAAGAAAAACTAAAAAAGTCATCGATTGTTTATTGTTTATGTTTACCTTCAAATAAAAAAGTGTCCACCTCATTCCTTATTTCTTCATCTGAGAGTCCTACACCCTTTTCATCTTTCGCTGTGAGAAGGATATCCAGAAAGTCTAGATATCGTTTAGAAGTTAGATCTACTGTTTCCTAAAACCAAATTAGACCTAGAAGTTCATGCAGACCAAAACACTTTGCTAAGATTTCAACACATATAATTGAATTATTACGAGAATATTATAATGTGGACTAGTGATACCAGCTCTTTTCGTCTCTTTTCCATGACTTCTGTTGCGACATTGTGGACATAATTGCAGTTCTTAAGGAATCTTTTCCCCTCCTCTGTGTTGTAGTATATAAAGTCTGGGTACAACCAAGGTGTCCTACATAGTTTCAAATGTAAGCTTTACTTAGTAATTTTTGCTTTTATTGATTGAACAGAAATCTCATCTCTATATCTTCAGGAACCCTACCTGTTTCTGTAGAACCAAAGATCTGCTATTTCATTGACTGCTTTCACGTATGGATGAACTTCACCACTTAAAAACAAAATGTGTTTGTGAAACACTGATGCCCCCATATGGCAGCTTATGGCGAAGGTTAAAGTTTCTCAAATGCAAGTCAAACTCCAGATCAAGAGATCAAAAATTTGGCACCCAAAGAAAGGTCTTGTCTCCGAGGAATATACATGTGAAATTTGAAAACCCTATCACCAACTGTTCAAAAGTTATATGGCGAAGTTCAAGTTTTTTAAAAGTAAGTAAGACGTCAAGGTCAAATGGGGACCCAAGGGAAGGTCTTGTTGCAAGTGATACACATGTTTGTGAAATGTGAAAGCCCTAGAACCAAATGTTCACATATTATGGCCAAGGTTAAAGTTTTTAAAAAATGGGTCAAACTCCAAGGTCAAAGGGTAAAAGTGGTTGGTATCCAAAGGAAGGTCTTGTCACAAAGACTACATATGTGAAGTATAAAAGCCCAAGCACCAACCATTCAAAAGTTATGGCCAAGGTTAAAGTTTTTCAAAAGTAGGTCAAACTCCTAGGTAAAGGTCAAAAGGTCAAAGTTGTTGGTATCCAAAGGAAGGTCCTGTCACAAGGATTACATACATGAAGTAAGAAAGCCCTAGCATCAACTGTTCTAAAGTTCTGGCCAAGGTTGAAGTTTTTTTCAAAAGTAGGTCAAACTTCAAGGTCAAGTCAAATGGTCAAAGTTGTTGGTATCTAAAGGAAGGTCTTGTCACAAGGAATACACAAGTGAAGTATGAAATCCCTAGCACCAACTGTTCAAAAGTTATGGCCAAGGTTAAAATCTCATAAAATTTTGCAAAAGTGGGTCAAACTCTAAGGTCAAAAGGTCAAATATGACGGTACCCAAAGAAAGGTCTTGTCACAAGGAATACACATGTGAAATATGAAAGTCATAGCTCCAACCAATCAAAAGTTATGGGGAAGTTTAAAGTTTTTGCAGACAGACAGACGGACGGGCGGGACAAAAACTATATACCCCCAAATCTTGGATACAGGGGCATAAAAGTTTGCTCTTGAGTAAAGGCCAAATATAAACTCTGTATACACATGCAAGTGTTACAAATATTTATTAAAGATCAGTACCTACCTTTGAGTCTGGCAATTTGTCTGGTAAGAGAAGGCACACCTTAGAATGATGTCTAGTGTACAAAGACACACCTGACTAAATACTTCAAAACTTTTCTCTTCCTTAGCAAACCTCTCAATATTTCCCTGTAAAAAATTATAATTTGAATTATGTTTCTATCTGCAGTTTGCATTTTTCTGTCCATCCCTCTGTCTGTGATGTCTCCTCTCTAAACATTTCATCTTATTTTTTCATATGAGATCATTAATTAGGCTAATTTCAACAAAACTTTGCACAAGCATCCTTGAGTAAAAGGAATTCAATATTTCAAATATAAAGACACATTCTCTTTCAAGGGGAGATAACTTAGAAATAATGAAAAATAAGGTAAAAGTTTCATCATATGTAGAACTGATTCAAGTTGATTTGATCATGGACCACAGACAGTAGGGCAATGGGATTCACAGTCTAATAAGAAGGTCAAGAAGAAATCAATCCAGAAAAGCAAGGCAGCTTAATTGTCAATAAACAATTGCAAGCATACTGTTATTTTTAACCCCCCCCCCCCCAAAAAAAAAAAGCTGTAGTCTCAACTGCCTAAGAAAGGATTATACACAGTGTGAGTTAATTTACATAGTATGTATAGGAAAATGTTTTTAAAGAATATTTTGCACTACAGCAAGGCTGCAATCAATCATATTAATAGTAGACATACAGTAGATTTTCAAGTCATGAATCAGGATATAGGATTCCTTCTTACAGGGGTTGAACATAATTGTATATTAAGCCATGTTTTCCATATATTTCTATATCTAAATGTACATGTTTATTGCACTTAGTATATGCAAGCATCCCATAGTAGTATTGTAAATTTTATTTTGTTCAAGTTATAACTCCTGGATCAAAGGAAAGGGGACAATAAGGGGGAAATTATTAACTTTCTTAAAAATAACAAGACTAGGTCATCATTAAAAATATCTTTGTTTCCCCTAACCCGACCCTAAAATTTCAAGTTGAGTAGACAAGTTTTGAAAATACATTCTGAAAATTGAATAACATCTCTATAAATAAGAAAGAACAAAAGAAACCGATTTTTAAACCGAATATCATACAAATGAAATTTAAAAGCAACATGTTTGGTAAATTAATTCACAAATACTATTCACTTGAACTTGTGAAATATCTCAGGCCAGCGTAAATTTTTTGAAATTGAATTTTTACAAAAAGACAAGATTCGCAAATACTCAACCATCGGCCATCGAGTATATTTTTTTTCAAACCTACTATCATCTTCGGGTGCTTACAGAGATAAAATGTCAAGGGCCTTGCGTGGTGAAGTAATTCTAGTGTTTCGTTTTGGAGTCACGACGTAATTCAGGAGCTTATTCTAAGTCACAGGTCCCGACGTGGGGCGTGGAAACTAGTCAGTCAAATGAGACCGTAAAAAACGTAGGGCCATGCAGTGTCACAGTATACATGTAGATGTTGGCACGATTAAGATCCCTTATTGATGCTTTATGATCAATGGCCATAAGTGCCGAGAAAAAGTCTAAATTAGGAGCCCTCCACCAGGCAGGTGTTCAAATGTTGTCGACCCAGCAATTTTTAAAGGTATTTTAAAGCAAAGAAACAACCTATTTTCAAGGGCCCAAGTAAAGAAAAGAAAAATACACTGGACGTCTCGGGAAGCCGTACCATAAGCCAACTTTAAAGATTTCAACACTATTTGAAAAGAGAGTACCTGTATAAACAATATTTAATTCAACCAAACCATATCTAAAATGATTAAAGTTTCATATATCTAATGTTATAGTCACAAAGTTTACCCCATAAATAAAAGGAATGAAGAAACGACATCCGAATCATATTCATCAAGATGAAATAATTATACAAAGATATATTTACAAATCATATGGTCCTATATAGTAAAAATAGAATCATACATGAAGTGTTTTTTAGATCAAAACGAATGAAATGGAGTGAAATTTATTGATATGCATATACAAATTGGGCCCCTCTTCTGCTCATGAGGCAGGCTTTGTCATGCTTACTACGTAAGTTAATTTTTAATTAGAAGACACATTTGTAAATACCATCTTAACACTCCTTAGTCATGGTATATGGAATTCAGGAAATTTTTCAAGAGTGTAGGATTCTAATAAGTTAAAGATGTATATTAAGATTGATACATCGCCGTTGTTTTACAACACTAAATAACCCTCTGTGGCCACATGTTGTGGGCGCCAAATGAGAGTAAAACAAAAGCCGCCGTTCTGATAAAAAATGAATTTTGATGAAATTGTGTTTTATAAAGTTGATAAACAATAAAAATAAATATTTGAATAATCTTATTAAAAAAACTTTTCAGTCGGCACGATTTAAGTGGGTCGGTCGCGTTAGAGGAAACAAACCTATTTTTTATTTTGGCCCTGTGTAACTGTATTTATTACTAGAACTGTCCAAAAGGGACAAATACCCCCCACTGGGTTTTTCAGAGAAGGTACCAAATCACTAATGTTTTCTAGATGTGAGAGGTGTTCACAATTTGCTTAAACATTTAAAGTGAAAATTTAATTACTAATTATATTTTTTTTTTATGAATGAAACTAAGGTGCAGCCTAATAAAACATCAATACTAGTAATTTTTATTACATTGAAAAAATAGTTTGCAACTATCTGTCATCTTTGTGAGACATGACACTCTGCAAATTGATTGTTGAAAAAAAAAATATCATAATTAATTATACAAAATCAAATTGATCTTAATACCTTTATATCAAACTCATTTTAAAAATAGAAGGCTGTTTCCAGTAACTATGTGTTTTGACAGACATAAATTACAATTAAGAGACTTAGACAACAGAAATCTTTATTTCTTTCTGCCCAATTCCCAGGAGATATAGATAAGACCCCCTTGATCAGAGATGCCCTAACAGCTTCCCACACTGAACTCATTAATTAATCTTTAACTGGATGCATGTCCACTCATTACTCCCAAGGGACAAATGGATTTACACTATCTGCTGTGTAATGTAAAAACTGTTTTTAATACTTTGTGATTTTTTTTTACTTCTAATGAGTAGTTTTAAGCTGTAGTTCACATTTTTGTACAGATGTTCTAGATTCTATGTCTCAAACCTTAGACATAAACCCAAAATGACTAAGTCAATAAAAATGAAAAAAAACACCTGTAAAATGCAGAAAAATTATCAAATAATGTTGAAAATACCAGGTGAACATTTTCATATGGTAAATAATAAGTGTACAAATTTTCATACAAATCTATGCAATAGTCTCTGGGAACAGATCAGGACAAAACCACATAATAACTAGAAATATGTCCATAGGACATGAATGCCCCGCCGAGGGTATATTAGTAACACAACATTTTAACACAAATTGAGAAAAGTGAGGTCAAGGTCAAAGGAAAGGTCAAGGTGAAAAAATATTGATGCAGTTGAATAGCTTACATCAGTATGTATCAGCATATGAAGTTTGACACTAATTTAAGAAAAGTGAGGTCAAGGTCAAAGGAAAGGTCAAGGTCAAAAATTGTTGATGCAGTTGAAAATGTTACATCAGTATGTATTAGCATATGAAATTTGATAAAAATATTAGGAATGGTTTCTTTAAAACTGAGCTAAACAATAATTTAAGAAAAGTGAGGTCAAGGTCAAAGGAAAGGTCAAGGTCAAAAAATGTTGCTGCAGTTGAATAGCTCTCATCAGTATGTATCAGCATATGAAGTTTGACACTAATTTAAGAAAAGTGAGGTCAGGTCAAAAGAAAGGTCAAGATCAAAAAATGTTGATGCAGTTGAAAAGCTCTCATCAGTATGTATCAGCATATGAAGTTTGATAACACTATCTTGAATGGTATCTTTAAAACTGAGCTAAACACTTATTTTAAAAAAGTGAGGTCAATGTCAAAGGAAAGGTCAAGGTAAACAATATTGATGCAGTTGAATAGCTCTCATCAGTATGTATCAGCATATGAAGTTTGACACTAATTTAAGAAAAGTGAGGTCAAGGTCAAAGGAAAGGTCAAGGTCAAAAAATGTTGCTGCAGTTGAATAGCTCTCATCAGTATGTATCAGCATATGAAGTTTGATAACACTATCTTGAATGGTATCTTTAAAACTGACCTAAACACTTATTTAAGAAAAGTGAGGTCAAGGTCAAAGGAAAGGTCAAGGTAAAAAATATTGATGCAGTTGAATAGCTCTCATCAGTATGTATCAGCATATGAAGTTTGTTAAAAATATCTTGAATGGTTTCATTAAAACTGAGCTAAACACTAATTCAGAGGTCAAGGTCAAAAGAAAGGTCAAGGTCAAAAAATGTTGATGCAGTTGCATAGCTCTCATCAATATCTATCAGCATATGAAGTTTGAGTTTCTTTGAAACTGAGCTTTGAACAGAGCTAAACGCAAAGTGTGACGGAAGGACAGACAGAAGGACGGAAGACGGACATGACAAACACTATATGCCCCGGCCATATTCATGGTGGGGCATAAAAATGAAAAAAAAAAACACCTGTAAGATGCAAAAAAATTATCCAATCATGATGAAAATACCAGGTGCACACCTTCATATGGCGAAGAATAAGTGTACAAATTTTCAGACAAATCCTTGTAACAGTTTCCAAGAAATGGTCCGGACAAAATCTCGTCTACAGACAGACGGACAGACAGACAGACGGACAAGCTGATTCCAATATACCCCCCCCCCCTAAACTTCGTTTGCGGGGGGTATAACAAGTTTGCCTGAAAATGTCACTTTACATGTACCTGTATATATATGGCCTTGGATTGAGTAGTCTCACTCCAAATTCAGTTGTCAAAGAGAGATCAATGTTCTTATGGGACAAGAAATGTATAAACATGATCATTCACATTCCAATAAGGGTCATGCTTGGAGCTTGATAGCAGATTTGATTTCAATACATCTATTTTCAATGACAAAATAATTCCCTACCTCCAAAAGTCCTGCACATTCTCTGTACACACAGATATAGGGTTTGAGAATGTCGAAGTGGAATGCTGGTGTCAGCAGACGTCGAGATCTTGCCCACCTTTTACCTCCGGCAATCAGAAGCCCTTCTCCCAGCCATGGAAGCGCGTGACGATACGCTTCACCAAAACCAGCAGGTTTGGGATCTACATGTATAGCAGCAAATATGTGAATTGATATACTGTTGACAAAGGATATAATCATTTATATGAAAATTTTCAGGAAAACAAGAGGCCCATGGGCCACATCGCTCACCTGAGCACAATGGCTAGGAAAAAGCACAAATCAATTCAGTATTGAAAAGTTTCGGGGGGGGGGGAATTTTAAACTTCCTAAGGATGCTTCCATATCAATATAACAAATGGCTTTGCTGTTCTTGAGCAGAAGATTTTTTCCTATATATTCCTTTATAAAAATTTGATACCCCTTGTGGCCCCTCCCTACCCCAAGGGGTAATATCATTTGAACAAACTTTAATCTACACTACCCGAGGATGCTTCCATATCAATAAGACTTAACATGGCTTTGCTGTTCTTGAGACAAAGGTTTTTTCTTTATATTCCTATGTAAAAATTTGATCCCCCATTGTGCCCCCCTCCTTCCCCGGGGGGGTCATGATTTGAACAAACTTGTATCTACAATACCTGAGAATGCTTCCATATCAACTTGACCAAACATGGCTTTGCTGTTCTTGAGAAGAAGATTTTTGAAGATTTTTTTCCTCTATGTAAAACTTTGATCTCCCATTGTGGCCCCACCCTACCCCCAGGGGTCATGATTTGAACAAACTTGAATCTACACTTTATAACAAAGGTTTCCTATAAGTTTCAACTTTTTTGGGCCTGGGGTTCTTGAGAAGAAGATTTTTAAAATATGCCACCAAATTTTCACTACCGGTATTTCTGAACAATAAGTTCCTGGACTTGTCTTTGCATACAGAGTTACATGCAAAGGTATATGTTGCAGCAAACATATTTTTTTAATGTGCGCAAACATTGAATTTCAACTGGTACCTGAATACGGGTGAAATTAAGTAGATCACATTCATTCCTTTATAAAATTCTTACTATTATTGTCCCCCGCTTTCACTGAAAGTGGGGGATATTAATTTGGGTCTGTCTGTCCGTCCGTCCGTCCGTCTGTATTTCTGTCTGTCTGTAAGACTTTCGTTTCCGCACGATATCTCGAGAACCCTTTGAGCTTTCGCAATGAAATTTTGCATAGCAACTCCCTATCGCCTAAAGAAGAAGTGTATTGATTTTGAGGTCAAAAGGTCGAAGTCAAGGTCATAACTTCATAAATTCTGTCTGTTTTATCACTTTCGTTTCCGCGCGATATCTCGCGAATTCTTTGAGCTTTTCTAATAAATTTTTACATGACAAGACCCTGTGGCCTAAGGAAGACCTCTATAGATTTTGAGGTCAAAAGGTCAAAGTTCAAGGTCATAAATTCCGTCTGTGTGTAACACTTTTGTTTCCGGGCCATACCTCAAGAAGCTTTTGCAATGAAATTTTATTCCATAACTCCCTATAGCCTCTCTCGAAGTGTCCCACCCCTAGACAGAAAATGATAAATATCCTACAGACCCGGTTTAACGATAGAATGCGTTTCGTGTGTTGTCAATCCCGAGAGTTCCGAATGTCAACATGGTGTGTAAATTTGAAGCGAGTAAAAAACGTTGGTGAAAAAGTGTTGAATTCTTCCATAATATGCATTAAATTTTTAGATGAAAGGTATTTACAGTCTCAAAAAGGTTTGTTATGATTAATTTGACTGTTATTTTCAATGCAACTTCATTAATTTTCTCCAAAATCGTTTCGGAGCGATTCTGCAATTTTCTGCTACATTACGGGTATATGGGAGGCATTCTAACTGTGGTGAGGGTCTGTCCCGAGACACAGTTAGATTATTCTAACTACGCACCCCGTTTTTTTTATTTTATTTATTTATTGTATTAAAAGTCGTTTAGCACATGGGCATGTGGAGTGTTATTACGTATAATACAGGTTGTCGGCGGACTTTATCTGTTTATATTCTAATTACATATATTAGAACTGTTTAGTAAAGGCTAAATTAGACACCATGTATTGATTAAAATTTTGACAATATCGAACGTGAAAATAAACATTATATGTGACTTCATGTTTGCATTTAATTTATTGTATAAATAAGTGTCTCTGTGGTCTAGTGGTATGAAGCTCGCTAATCAAGCGGGAGGCCCGGGTTCAAACCCCGGACGATTCTCTCTTCTTTTTTTTTAAATGTTCTTTTTTTCTTTTTTTGGATTTACTAAATGATACTATTTAACATGTGAAATGAAAAAGTTATGATGTCTGGCGTGTACAAACTCATAAAATCATTATTACAGTGTGATAAATATTCTGTATATATTAAAAAGAATCTTCTATGTACATATTAAAGAATAAGCAATCAAATCCTTATATCCATATCGGCTTTTTTTAAATTTGCTTCAATATACATGTATACATTTAATAATGCTACAAATACAGGGGGGCAGTGTGACCCCCCCCCCCACCGAACTGCGCATGCTCTTCTTTTTTCCCTAAGCGGGGGACACAAATTCTCTGAATTAGCTTGTTTTTTCCATAATTTGAACAAATATTGATGTAAACATTATGTTTCAACAGCGCAACTAGCTGGCAAAAAGTGCATTTTGCACAGGACATTGAAAAAATAACATCACCACCCCCACCCTCTTCAAAAATAATTGTTTAGAGTTTTTCATCAAGTTATGATCAAACAAGTGGCCCATGGGCCACAGAGCTCACCTGAGTCAATCTTCATCAGCAGAGTTTTTCCTCTACATATTTTCTAATGTAAAATTAAGATCACAAATTGTGCCCCATCCTACCCCCCCCCCTCCTCCTCCAAGGGGTCACAATTTGAACAAATTTGAATCTGAACAGCCTGAGGATGCTTCCATATCAGTATGACTTGACTTAGCTTTGCTGTTCTTGAGAAAAAGATGTTTAAAGATTTCCCTATATATTCTTAATATGTAAAACTTTGTTGCAAATTGTAACCCCATCCTACCAGTGGGGATCATGATTTGAACAAATTTGAATTAACACTATCTGAGGATGCTTACATATTGTCATTTGTACATGTTGTCCTCGGCGACAAAATGTACCTACCCTGACTGCACATATCGTCGTCCATCGATATATATTGTCGCCGGCGACAATTTGTACAGAGACGAGCCTTTTTCTTCCTCCTGCGTAATGGAAGACAAAATGTACAGTCAAGCATCGGCACGCTTTGTCGTCAGCGACAATATGTACTGTGACCATTGGTACATTTTGTCTCCTATATATTTTGTTGAATGTTTACTATGGTCGTGGAGAGAGAGAGAGAGAGATTGACACACAAACACAGACAAAGAGAGGGAGCTAGACAGACCGAAGGAAAGACAAAGTGTTTCGCTGATAAATAAGTAAACAAGTTGTATTTATTTAGCATTACTCGCAATACTGTAGGGAGAAATGGTGTTGCTCAGAAAATTGTGTCCAGCATTAGTTTACACGACTATGATATGTCAAAATACCGTAATTCTTGAGATATTTGAAAAATCAGTCTTCTTTTTTCTCGTTGTATATACATGGATATGAAATTAAAAGTTATTTGTTCAGTAGAAATGTTATCTGGAATTCATTTTTTTTTGCTTAATTCTCATATGAGTGCCGATATAATTGGTGTAGAGGTTGACATATTTTTAGCTCACCTGAGCTGATAGCTCTATTGAGCTCTAGTGAGCTTTTCTGATCACATTACTTGTGTCGTCCGTCTGTCTGTCGGTAAACTTTTCACCTTCTTCTCAGGAACTACTAGCCAATTTCAATTTTAACCAAACTTACCAGAAAGCAAACGTGGATAAAGGGAGTCAAGTTTGTTTAAACTAGTGGTCATGCCCTCTCTCAACAAAGTACATGTATAATTAAGAATTAGTGAAAATTTAGTGACATCTTGAAATAATCTTCCCAAGAACCATTGTGTCAGAAAAGTTTAAACTTATGTGAAAGTTTCATTATAAAGTGTAGATTCATTTTTATTCAGATCATCTCTGGGAAAGGATGGGGCTACAATAGGTGATCAAAGTTTTAATAGAATATTTAATAATAATCCTTTAAAAATTACTTCTCAAGAACTTCTCGATCGGAAGAGATGATACTTATGTGAAAGTACATACTGTAGCTTCCTTATTTTAGGCGAGTACTTAATATCGCAAAATGGCCCAAGGGCGTCAAATCGCGAGAAAAATAATTCGCGAAGGGGTGATTTATCTAGAGATTTTACATACATTAAAGCACCATAAAAATAAAAGCGTGTAATTTTATTTTGCGAGTGATGCTTCTCGCGTAATTACGCAATAATTTATTCCTGGCGTATATTTAGGAATCTACAGTACATGAAGTGTACTTTTTTTTTTTTTTTTAGATTCTGGCATGAAAAAGATTCCACACTTTTCAATGGCCCTGAGTTCCGAGAATAGGTCTAAATTTGCCTAATACATTGAAAATGAAGTTTCTCTTCGTATTTTAAAAGAAAACAACCATTTCGATGAATTAAATATAAGAAATATATAATTTTCCAGCTCACGATCATGCCTTCACACATGGGCATGTGATCGCCAACCAAAACTCCTCAAAATGTGTTAAGGATATCAAATACATAAATCTTTGTATGGGATACTGAATGTTGTATCTGTTTCCCAAAATTCAAATTTATTCTTAGAATTTGTCAAAAACGTTAAAATTTAGGCATTATGTATAAATTCTTGTATCTTTTGCATGACACCGGACGGATTTTATCATAACCTCACCTGTATGTTCATGACAACGAACCAGTTTTAGTGCTTAACTGTAAAGGTTTCTGACAACGGTACTGCCTAGGAACTTAACGTGTTCTTGGCCGTGTATTTACTTCTGTAAATGGTATAAGATCCCAGAATGACAATGTGATATATTGTTTACAATGTTAAATTCTAACTATATTTTATTTATTTTTTTGACATTTTTTAATGCTTTATGCCATTCTGAACTTATTATTTATTTATCTGTAATTACAATTTTAATACATGTATATTTCATGTAAAAAAAGTCTTTTTTCACCACTCTGTAAATGAGCCTAGCTCTCTGTACTTCTGAGTAATTTGATTTGTTCTTGAGAATATAATGATGCATGTTTCCTCTGTTTTCCCATGGAAAATTTGATCACTCATAGTGGCCCTACCCTACCCTCAGAGGTTATAATTTGAAGAAACTTCACTATGCTCTATGTCAGGATGCTTTTACATGAGTTTCATCTTTTCTGGCCCAATGGTTCTTGAGAAGAGGATTTTTAAATGACCCCACCCAAGTTTTGCTTGTTCTTAATTATATCCCCATGGAAAAAGGCGTGGCCCCTCATTTGAATAAACTTGAATTCATTTTACTCAAGGATACTATATGCCATCTTTGGTTGAAATTGACCCGTTGGTTCTGGAGAAGAAGATGAAAATGTGAAAAGTTCACGACAACAATGACGACAGACAACGGACAAATATTGATCGGAAAAGCTCAATTGATCCTTTGGCTCTAGTAAGCTAAAAACTAAACCAAAACTTGGGGGATGGTTACACATGTAAAACAATATATGTACAATATGGTAAAAATAAATGGCAATATTGTGTCTTTGACAGTACTCTGAGTTTGACACCCTCTGATGCCCTCTTTAAGTAATATGCCTTATTAACCTATCATCCCTTAATAAAGTATGAATCTTACATATGAACTTAGGGATTTTGTTTGTTTTTTTTCAGAGCCCATACCTGCTCCCTTTAGTAGGACTTTGACTGTATCTGGATGGTTGAGGGTACACGCCACTCTTAGCGGACCAAAGTACGTGATGAAGAATTTGGGATATTTGGCTGTCCACTGTAAAGCTCGTTGTAGTCGAGTATTACTCCCCCCTTTCCCTAAAAACTAAAAATAAAGTCAAATTGAATAAATTTTATATACAGTGTACAATTGCAGCTGCTTTTTTCATTTATGGTAGAGTTAATTGTTTGTCCATTCATGTACTTATATATTTATATACAAGAACTATACTACAGTACTTGTATAAAGTATAAAGACAGTACATGAATTTTAAATGACCCAACCCGAGACGAGCCCTTTTTCCTCCTTCAGAAGGACGACAAAATGTACAGTCAAACATCGGCACATATTGTAGTCAGTGACAATATGTACTGTGAACGTATGCAGATTTTGTCGCCACTATATTATTTTGAAAACTATTTTCTGGTGTCTTGAACACACAGACACTCACACACACACAGCCTCACTCACACCCTCACACACCCACACACACCCACACTGGATCTATGGCAAACAGATAAGTAAACAAGCAATAATGTTGAGAGAAAACTTTTTGGTCAGAAAATTATGTCAGGATTGGTGTACACCAGTGTGATACCCCCCCCCCCCCCCCCCTCCGGCATGCCAATATACCGGAATTTTGGATTTATCTGATAAATTGGGGTATTCTTATTTTCTTGTTAAACATATTTAGAGATTGTTAATTTCTGTGTTCAGTAGTTAATAATTATCTGGATTATATTTTTGTGTGATTCTTATACATGTATCGATACTACTGGGGGTCAACATTTTTTAAATCTGCTTCAGTCTATAGAATTATATTCTTAAATGCTTCTTTAGTTATATTGTGAAATATTGAGTAAAACATTTAGTGCACTGGATAGCAGTGAACCAAATGTGATAAAAGTTCTCTTTTTTTATCGAAAATTATACATTCAATTTTGATGAGATCACTTTTTATCAGAAAGCGGATGTTTGATTGAAATATCAGAGAGAGAGAGAGAGAGAGAGAGATTTGTATATTAATCATGTTATTTGTACTAGTTTCCTCTTCACAGTATTACTTGTACTCATGTATTTCAATTATAGCGGCCATTGCATCTGCTTCACTGCATCAAGTTGAAAAAATGATAGATTAGTTATCTCATGAAATTTTCGATATCATCATCATTTTTGTCAACATCATACAACAGGGCCGTAGGAACCGGGGGGAGGGGGGGCACGGGGGGGCATGCCCCCCAATAATTTTGCCGATATTTAGATTACTATAGTAAACATAGATACTATATGCTTGTGCCCCCTCAATAAGAACGTCTGATGACTTTTTTTTTGTTTGCTTGGTAGTGCCCCCTCAACTGTCAACTGCAAACGTATGGTTGTGCCCCCCCCCCCCCCCAACTGAATTTGCTTCCTACGGTCCTGATACATATTACTACGGAAGCGTATTAGGGCCGCAGCAGTATCTTTTATTAATTTGTTTTAACAAATTACTAATTTGTTATAACAGATTACTAATTTGTTAAAACAGATTACTAATTTGTTATAACAGATTACTAATTTGTTATAACAAATTACTAATTTGTTATAACAAATTATCAATTTGTTAAAACAAATTACTAATTTGTTAAAACAAATTACTAATTTGTTATAACAGATTACTAATTTGTTATAACAGATTACTAATTTGATATAACAAATTATCAATTTGATATAACAAATTAATAATTTGTTATAACAAATTAATAATTTGTTATAACAAATTAATAATTTGTTATAACAAATTAATAATTTTGATAAAGTGAAAGTGCATACAGATCTATGGAAGCCAGATGAGATCAGAAATCTTTTTATAAGTTGGATTTGTGAAAATAATAAATGTACAAGCTCTGCAGCTACAGCTTTTGACCAATATGTTAATCTGGATTTACATCTTTTAGCATTTAGAGTTTTCACTGTCAAACATTATTGTTATAAAGATACAATGCATTAAATTCTTTGGTTACTTATTCTTAGGAGCTCTATTTGAATTTTGTCCTCCTCCCCCACCAGGGCTCCGTCCTTGACTCCCATTTACCAGGTCATTGCATCCCCGTTCGTATGCTAGGAAAAAATATCTTATCAAAGACATGTTATTTGGAGAGGGAATTTTTCCCACCCTGAATCAACATGTTCATTATAATATTTTTTTTTCAATATGTCTTTTATTTTATTTCATTTTACCCCCCCCCCTCCCTCTCTCTCTCGATTCATTCTATACATGTACCAAATGATTTATGCCTACTGTTCAATCCAGTTTATGTATCATGAATAAAATATATTTTAAACTAAACCGCCGTTCCTAATGCAAAAACCTGAATCTGCTCCTCTGGATCCAGGGATTATGTAGAAGAAATACAGAATGTTGGATCCTTCGAGAAAAATTCGAAGTTCCGGACAATTAAATATGATTTCAACGTCGTCCATTCAAATCAACACTTTTTTCAATGTCAACACAGGGGTCAAAATGGGAGAAGACCTATTTTTTCCTTCTTTACACATGTGTAATATTTTGTGTGTATTGTTATAACAAATTATATTGCTTAACGATTTCTTGTAAAATATATGAGTAGTCCTATATGAGACAACCAGGATACAAATTACAAATGAATTTGAAGAAACAACTGTCAAAGTTTTCTGCCAATAATAAGTTATGAAGGCTTTAGTGGGACTTTGAGGGCTTTTCCAAAAGGCACGTATTTTGATTATAAAAATACATACATACATGAAAAAATTTCACAAGGTATCTAAATTCAAATTTTACGAAGTACTACCCACTCAAGAATATTGTTTATTTTCGTTTTCAGAAAAGGTTATTACAGAGTGTTTATCAATTTTTCTATGATAATTTATCTACAAATTCATTTTTTATCAATGTTGCCTTTATTGCCCCCAGCATAAATTGGGGCCAAGGAGGATAACCAGAGGAGCAGATTCAGGTTTTTGCATTAGGAACGGCGGTTTAGTTTAAAATATATTTTATTCATGATACATAAACTGGATTGAACAGTAGGCATAAATCATTTGGTACATGTATAGAATGAACCGAGAGAGAGAGGGAGGGGGGGGGGGTAAAATGAAATAAAATAAAAGACATATTGAAAAAAAAATATTATAATGAACATGTTGATTCAGGGTGGGAAAAATTCCCTCTCCAAATAACATGTCTTTGATAAGATATTTTTTCCTAGCATACGAACGGGGATGCAATGACCTGGTAAATGGGAGTCAAGGACGGAGCCCTGGTGGGGGAGGAGGACAAAATTCAAATAGAGCTCCTA